GAAGCAGGAATTTCAGTATTCAGTTTTTGAAGAACGCTTTTTCCAAGCTTCCTATAGCAACAGGAAGAAACAGGATCTGTTGGCGCTAGTTTTAGAGCGCTGTTCTCTGATCCACGTTCCCTGCTTCCATAGGCTCTGTCTAGAAGGAATGCTGGGTCCCCAGCCCTGCTGTGGAGTTTCAGGGCACACGCTTCCTACCCAGGCCGTGGAACCAAGGCGCTGGCATACTCTGGGCCCCACAGCCTTTTCCTGTGGTGGTTAGACTGTGTCCCGGAGGCCCTCATCATTCTTACTGTCTTCAAACCAGGTCTTGTTTAGATAGTACCAGTTGACACCATTGGTATTCAACTCTACCCAAGCCCACAGAACAAAAAGTACAAGAAACAATGGTAAGTATGGAGGGGTAACTCCTAAATGTGAAATGAAAAGTTCACCTAGAAGAGTTGAAGTCCCATTTCTGCTGATGGCTTTTCATGATGTTTCTCTTCCAGTGCAAGGCACTGTTTCTTTCCTTTTTGAAAGTTCTTTGGGCCAGGCGTGGTCACTCATGCCTGTAATCCCAGCACTTTGAGAGGCTGAGGTAGGAGGATTGCTTGAAACCCGGAAGTTTAAGACAAGTCAGGACAACATGGTGAGGTCCCATCTCTTCAAAACCTTAAAAAAAAAAAAAAAAAAAGTTTTAAAATTAGCTGGGCATGGTAGTGTACACCTGTGGTCCCAAGCTACTTGGGAGGCTGAGTTGAGAGGATCGCTGGAGCCCAGGAGGTCGAGGCTGCAGTGAGCTTTGATTGTACCACTGCAGTCCAGCCTGGGCAACAGAGTGAGACTCTGTCTCAAAAAAATATATGAAGAGTCATTTGCTTGGTCACTGAATGTTTCATTAGCTTCTCCTTGAGAAACAAGACTTCCCTTGAACGAACGCCTAGTTAAGTGATTTTATTTTCGTGTGTTGAGGTGGGAAGTCGTCTACCAAGCACCTTGGTGTGGTGTTTGGGCTTCAGATAGACCTGGTCGTCCCAGCACTCAGTAAGCACCTTGTTGTGCTGTTTGGGCTTCAGATAGACCTGGTCGTCCCAGCACTCAGTAAGCACCTTGTTGTGCTGTTTGGGCTTCAGATAGACCTGGTTGTCCCAGCACTCAGTAAGCACCTTGTTGTGCTGTTTGGGCTTCATATAGACCTGGTCGTCCCAGCGCTCAATAAGCACCTTGGTGTGGTGTTTGGGCTTCAGATAGACCTGGTCGTCCCAGCGCTTAGTAAGCACCTTGGTGTGGTGTTTGGGCTTCAGTTAGACCTGGTCGTCCTAGCTCTATCATTACCAGCCATGAAATGTCGTGCAAGATACCTAATCTCTTTGAGCTTTTGAACTTCCTCATCTCATTGTTGAGAGAACTAAGTGAGATCATGTGCAAACAGTAAATGAGATGATACATGTTTAGGGCCAGGCAAAGTGACCAGCGAAGTTGGGCCAGTGATTCTCAGGAAGGGTTAGGTGATGCGTGTGCGCAATAACCAGTGATTCTCAGGAGGGGTTAGGTGACGCGCGCGTGTAATAACCAGTGATTCTCAGGAGGGGTTAGGTGACGTGCGCGTGTAATAACCAGTGATTCTCAGGAGGGGTTAGGTGACGTGCGCGTGTAATAACCAGTGATTCTTAGGAGGGGTTAGGTGACGCGCGCGTGTAATAACCAGTGATTCTCAGGAGGGGTTAGGTGACGTGCGCGTGTAATAACCAGTGATTCTTAGGAGGGGTTAGGTGACGCGCGCGTGTAATAACCAGTGATTCTCAGGAGGGGTTAGGTGACGTGCGCGTGTAATAACCAGTGATTCTTAGGAGGGGTTAGGTGACGCGCGCGTGTAATAACCAGTGATTCTCAGGAGGGGTTAGGTGACCTGTGTGTGTAATAACCAGTGATTCTCAGGAGGAGTTAGGTGACACGTGCGGAATAACCAGTGGGAATGTGAGGAAATCCCAGGCCCTTTGCTCAGTCTTGCTTTGAGCTACTTTGTAACTGGTGACAGGGCATGTCACCGCCTCTTTCTGTGGCCTCCTTTTTTAATGGAGAGCTGTCATGTTGAGATAATTGCTTATAAGCTGTTTTTAGATTATGAAATATACAAAGCTGCCAGCTTGGAAAGTAATAGTCATCACCATGGAAGAGCTTCATGTCGATTGGCGCTGGGGGCATCAAGCCCTGCCTGGTTCACAGTGTCTACCCAGAACATTCTGCTCCAAATCTTGCTGCAGAGCTGAGGAATAGCTGATGACCTAACGGAACCTGTCCAGTTTGGCCTAACCCGATGAGCTCAGTTGAAAATCACCTAGGATGCTCATTGGATGAGTCACATCTTCCAAATCAAATGGAGAAAGAAGCCTCTTAAGTAAGATAAAAGGTAATGAGGAAAACATTTCACATAACCAGAGCATTAGACTATTAAGTCAGTACATAGTAGACCTCTCTACTGTTTCTTCCTGGTTTGTTTTTTCCTGGTAATAAATTAGAGTTCTTTTTCCTGTGTGGATCCTGGTCAGGAAACCTTGCGTGGGAGTCTTCATGTCGCTGGGCCTTGGTTTTCTTCTCTCTGAAGTGAAGATGCAGGTCCCTTCCTGCTTTTCTGTGGTTCTGTGTGTGCACATCCCTCAAGCGGTTAGCATACATTATCTGATTTGAAGAAACATTAGGAGTCATTTGAGCTTCCCATGACTCGGGAATCATCCCCGTACAGTGTGATTCTTTTAAACAAGTTCTCTTGGTATTGAATTTTTCCTTTCCCCAAGAGCTCTATAAAAATAGTGGTTTCTTGCCAGAGACAGCAAGACCTCAGAACTACTGACCTCCTTCTATGAACATATTATATGGCTTGTGTTTGGCTTAGGATCTTTTTAACAGACCATCCAGCTCTGCTGTGAGAGGCTGACTCAGCAGAACCCCTCCAGCATGTGCCCCCTCTTCAGGGTTAGCGATTAGAGTGCCCTTCCCTGCAGCCCCAGGACAGGCTGGGAGCTGGTACTGTGCCTGCCTCCTGCCATGCCCTTGGGGGATATCACACTACAGCATTGCCACCTAAGTTCCCACGAGTCAATGCTGCCAAGTGTCACATAGTCCAGGAATCCAGCCACTTTACTGAGGTGTCTTCCAGAGTGTATGGTTAGAGCCACATAGTCCAGGAATCCAGCCACTTTACTGAGGTGTCTCCAGAGCACGTGGTTAGAGCCACGTAGTACAGGAATCCAGCCACTTTACTGAGGTGACTTCAGAGCACGTGGTTAGAGCTGCGTAGTCTAGGAATCCAGCAACTTTACTGAGGTGACTTCAGAGCACGTGGTTAGAGCCACGTAGTCCAGGAATCCAGCTACTTTACTGAGGTGTCTCCAGAGCACGTGGTTAGAGCTACGTAGTCCAGGAATCCAGCCACTTTACTGAGGTGTCTTCAGAGTGTGTGGTTAGTGCCATGTCCAGGAATCCAACTGCTTTACTGAGGTGTCCATAGTGTGTGGTTAGTGCCACGTAGTCCAGGAATCCAGCCACTTTACTGAGGTGACTTCAGAGCACGTGGTTAGAGTCACATAGTCCAGGAATCCAGCCGCTTTACTGAGGTGTCTCCAGAGCGTGTAGTTGGAGCCACGTAGTCCAGGAATCCAGCCACTTTACTGAGGTGTCTTGCAGACCATGTGGTTAGAGCCACGGTAGGCCAGGAATTTAGCCACTTTAACTGAGGCATCTTCCAGAGTGTGTGATTAGAGCCACATAGTCCAGAAATCCAGCTGCTTTACTGAGGCGTCTTCAGAGCGTGCGGTTAGTGTCACGTAGTCCAGGGATCCAGCCACTTTACTGAGGTGTCTCCAGAGTGTGGTTAGAGCCACGTAGTCCAGGAATCCAGCCACTTACTGAGATGTCTGCAGAGTCTGTGGTTAGAGCCACGTGGTCCAGGAATTCAGCCCCTTTACTGAGGTGTCTCCAGAGTGTGTGGTTAGTGCCACATAGTCCAGGAGTCCAGCCTCTTTACTGAGGTGTCTGCAAAGCCTGTGGTTAGAGCCACGTGGTCCAGGAATCCAGCTGCTTTAGGTGTCTTCAGTGTGTGGTTAATGCTTGGGTTGAAGCAGCTCTGTCACTTTTGTTCACTGCCTGGCCAGGGACCACATCGGTGCCCTCAGCAACATTCTCTCCCTGCACCCGGCTGAGGCCCTGTTGCCCACGTCTCCGTTTTACCCTCTCTCTACCCTACCAGAGATTCTCTTTGCCTTCCCTTTATTAAAATCCTGACACAGTCCCAAAGGTTTTTAGGATTATAAGATTCTACATGCATTCCTCTTTAAATGTTTTGTTATGAAAATATTTAAATATATTCAAAAGTAGAGGAAACAGTATGGTCGGCCTCACGTACCTGTCCCTCAGCTTCATGATCTTATTTCATCTACACCTCTTCCTAGTAATCTCATATGATTCTGAAGCAACATCCCCGCATACCTTATCATTTCCAGTTTTCTGTTTTAAAGGAATCCCAGACTCCTCCCAGTTTACTGAGGAGAAGGGTGTCTTAATTCCTCTCCAGGCTTCTCGTTGGCCTCCAGCCACCACTCTGCTCTCCCAGGCTGCCGGTCAGTTCAGGAGTCGAGGTCCCTCCCCGCTCTGCTGCAGTTCCTGTGGTGGGCACTTGGCAGGGCAGCAGGAGCCGTCACAGGAGGGCAGCTTTGCTGGGGAGAGGGGCTGTATCAGGCGTGCTGGGGACAAGGCAGGAAAAGGAGAGGGCCTGGGTGTACTTCACTCTCAGGGTCAGCTGGGCATGCTTGTTTCTGTCTTAGGGGTCAGCTGAGCACACTCATCTTTGTCCTGAGTATCAGTTCCTGCAGAATGATAAGACAGATTCTCAAGACGAGAGTCTGATTGCAGTGATAAGGAGCTGTGACTTGATATCCACTGCAGCCCTTCCCTTCCCCAGTAACAGATTACTTCCCCACTGTCCTGTGAAGATCCAGCACGTTGTCCTGTCTCCATTTCAGATGCAGTGGCAGAATGTGGAACATGTCGGTGACCAGAGCCCCTACGTCACCTCTGTCATCCTTCACATCAAGCAGAACGTGCCCATCATCCGTGACAACCTGGCTTCCACACGGAAGTACTTCACTCAGTTCTGCATCAAATTTGCAAAGTAAGTGTTGAGACCTTCTCATCTCTGGGGTTTTTGTTAATAGACTTTATTTTTTAGAACAATTTCAGCATTCACAGCCAAATTGGGTAGAATACAGAGATTTCCTGTGTACCTGACCCCACACATGCACAGTCTTCCATTACCGATACCCCCGCAACACACACACACACGGTGGTACCCGACCCCACACATGCACAGTCTTTTATTACCAATACCTTCACACACACACACACACACACACACACACACACACACACACACAGTGGTACCCGACCCCACACATGCACAGTCTTCTATTACCAGTACCTTCACACAAACACACACACACACACACACACACACACACATACACACACACAGTGGTACCCGACCCCACACATGCACAGTCTTCTATTACCAGTACCTTCACACAAACACACACACACACACAGTGGTACCCGACCCCACACATGCACAGTCTTCCATTACCAATACCTTCACACACACACACACACACACAGTGGTACTCGACCCCACACATGCACAGTCTTCCATTACCAATACCGCCCCCCCACACACACACACAAAGGGGTACCCAACCCCACACATCCACAGTCTTCCATTACACACACACACACACACAAAGCGGTGCCTGACCCTACACATCCACAGTCTTGCATTATTGATACCCACACATACACACAGCGGTACCCGACCCCACACATGCACAGTCTTCCATTACCGACACACACACACACACACACACACACACACACACACACACAGAGCGGTGCCTGACCCCACACACACACGGTCTTGCATTACCGATACCCCGACACACACACACACACACACACACACACACACACACAAAACGTGTTAAACAGCTGATAAGCCTGCACTGACACGTCATTGTCACCAGACTCCATGGTTTACCCGGGTCATTCTTGGTGCTGTACACTCCGTGGGTTTGGACAAACAGGGTGACATGCGGCCATCACTCCAGTGTCACACTCAGTTGCATTGTTTTTAAAACCATAGTTCCCGACAGCATCCCCACAGTTTGGGTGTCCCAAGCATCCAGCTGGGGTTCATTCTGGTGCCTGCAGTACTAATTTTAATTTGTATGCAAAAGAAGCATCATAATAAAACCAAATCTTCCAGTAAAGTCATAGGCAACAGTGACAGCAGTGCAGCCCCCAGCCAGGTCATGGCACACGGAAATGATTGGGGCCTACTGTTTGAAATGTGCAGGCATCACCCCCCTTTCCCGAGTTTGGATAATTACAGTGCCTTTTCAGGGATTTCTTAGATGCATTTTGTCTCTGGCTGGCTTATAAGCCTTTCAAGGGTAGAAGCCATCAGTTCTGTTTCTTTCCAGGCATCTTGTCCTCCCTCCCCTGGTATTTTTTTATCACGGCTGCTAGAATTTATCTGTTAATACTTGTACATGTGCTTGGTCCAAGGGAGGTACTAGAAATTGGGACGAGCAAGTCACAGAGCTCTATGGCCAAGGCAGGCAGAGTGCACCTGAGCCAGTGTCTTCCTCCATGGCCAGGGTGGGTGGAGTGCCCCTGAGCCAGTGTCTTCCTCCATGGCCAAGGCAGGCGGAGTGCACCTGAGCCAGTGTCTTCTTCCATGGCCAGGGTGGGTGGAGTGCACCTGAGCCAGTGTCTTCCTGCTGTGTCCTTGTGTGTGGCCATTTCTGGCCTGAGTTTTGAGGCGAGGAAAATAGTTTGGTCCTCTGCCGATTGCCACCTGGCTGTAGCCCCATTTCCTGTGCTAGCAGGCAGTGTCAAGGGTCAGCGTCTCCCCTGACCAGTTACTAAGCAGGCATTTTGGCAAACTTTTCCGGGAAGGGCTTCAGGAGGGTCAGCCCAATCCAAGCTACTGTATTTGGGTTCTTGTCCAGGCCCCAGATGGTGAGTCAGGACTCCGTTTCTGCCTTCCCCAAATCTACTTCAGGACTAACAATTATGGAGTGGCTTGTGGCATCAGCGTTACTCTCTAGTTTGTCAAGAAAGGATAGAGTGGACTCTGCAGGGAGGCATTCCTGTTTGCAGTAAGGCAGATGGACCAGAGTTGAAATTCCCTCCCTCCCTGGGTGCTCATTAGTGTGTTAAAAGCACTGCTGATAAATCACACTGTGACACTCCCCATAACTGCTGGTAGAAGCAGCGCCTCTGTAAAAGTGTGCTGTGACTGAAAATCTCCAGGCTGGCTGCTCAGGGGTCTGATCGAGCTTTTGTTAAAGTGAATATGGAGCCCACTGACTTAGCCATTCCCAGCACCTCCTAGCACCAGCCTCACATTCTCTCAGAGACCTTGAATTCCATGTCTAAACCCAGGTTGAGTGCACTGGGGATTAGGATGCCCATCCTCTCATCTGGAATCGCTCAGCCTGGGATCTAGAAAGTAGTGGTGTGTTTTCATCCATGGTGCCTTCCCATTCTTGTAAAATCCTGCTTAACAGAGGTGGGCGTTGTGAGGAGACCCTTCCCTGGCCAAGGGCAACAGCCACCACCCCCCTGATGGCAGAAGAGCCCTTGGCGGTTACCCAGCACATCGCTTGGTCTTAAGGGATGCGTGTCTGCTCCTTTTGTTTCCCCCCACCCCACCCCCGCCTGTAGACTGGTACAGAGAGAGCCAGTTCAAGGGCACGGCCAAAGCTGTCTTTTATTATTTTTATTTATTTATTTATTTTTGATAGAGGGTCTCACTCCGTTACCCAGGCTGGAGTGCAGTGGTGCAGTCACAGTTCACGGCAGCCCCAGTCTCCTGGGCTTAGGCGATTCTCCCACCTCAGCCTCCTAAATAGCAGAATTACAGGCACATGCCAGCACACCTAGCTAATTTTTGTATTTGTGGAGATGAGATTTTGTCATGGTAGGACCAGGCTGGTTCCAAACTCCTGGGCTCCAGCAGTCCTCCTGCCTCAGCCTCTCAAAGTGCTGGGATTATAGACATGAGCCACTGTGCCCAGCCCAAAGCTCGTTCTAATGTGAAACAACTTAGGTTACCAGCCAGTTGCAATTGGTCATGGATTCAGTGTCACATTACCTGCCTGGCTCTGGTTTACAGCACTAAAGAATCTCTTCCAGATAGGTCCTTGTTTGCTCTCCTTCCTGATCAGCAAGCCATATCCCAGATCTAATCTCTGGACCCCAATTTCCTTTCCTATAACTTCCTTTCTACCCGACCAATGCAAACCCATAGGTATTTCCTCTTACCGCTGTTTACTGTCTTGAGCCACAGCCGCCTTTCATATTGAGACATCAGAGTCCACAGCCTGGTGAAGCTGCAGTGGAACCACAAGCAACTTCCCTCACCGAGTGGGCCTATTCTCTTCCATTCAGACAGCTCTCATAATAGTGCTTGGGAGGATGAAAGGAGAAGTCACATAGTAACTTCCTGGTAAAGTACTGATACCAAGCTGACATTCAAACAGTGGAAGATGGCCAGGTGTCGTGGCTCCTTGTGGGGCCAAGGTGAGCGGATCACTTGAGGCCAGGAGTTTGAGACCAGCCTGGCCAACAGGCTCTACTGAAAATTTAAAAATGTAAAAATAAAAAATACATAAAATTTAGCCGGGTGTGAAGTATGCGCACGCCTATAATCCCAGCTACTCAGGAGGCTGAGGCATGAGAATCGCTTGAAACCGGGAGGCAGAAGTTGCAGTGAGCCAAGATTGCACCACTGCATTCCAGCCTGGGCGACAGAGCGAGACTCTGTCTAAAAAAAACAACTGATTTCTTCAATGTACATTCACTTGAGCATCTCCTGTGTCTCAGACCCAGAGTTGAGTGCTTTGGCTTGGTAAACATGGCCCCATCTTCATATGCTGTAACAGTCAGGTGAAGCAAAATAGACACATAGGCAAGTAAGTGTAATGAAGTGGGTTAGCTGTTAGGATAGAGGCCTGTGGACTCCCATGTAGCGTACGGTGAAGGCAATGGAAGAAAGGCTTTCCGGAGATGTTAAACAGGATCTGAGAGGTGCGTGTGTACTGACCCAAGTCAGGGAGGGAACAGTGGAGGCACAGAGCATTGTGCCTGCAGAATCATGGGATCCTCAAGGGGCTCAGTTGGGTTGAAGCACTGGGAGGCCAGGGACAGAGGATGGAATGTCGGGGAAGCCCAGCCTGGCGCAGTGCATGAGGCCGGGGACAGAGGATGGAGTGTCGGGGAAGCCCAACCTGGCTGGGCGCAGTAGCTCATGCCTGTAATACCAGCACTTTGGGAAGCCGAGGCAGGTGGATCACAAGGTCAAGAGATCGAGACCATCCTGGCCAACATGGTGAAACCCCATCTCTACTAAAAATACAAAAATTAGCCAGTATGCTGGTGGGCACCTGTAATCCTAGCTACTCCGGAAGCTGAAACAGGAGAATCGCTTGAACTCAAGAGGCAGAGGTTACGGTGACCCGAGATCACACCACTGCACTCCAGAGTGAAACTCTGTCTCAAAAGAGAAAGAGTAAGCCTAATTTGTCACTTCGTTTTTATCCACAGCTCCTTCATTCCCAAATTCATCACCCACCTCTTCAAGTGCAAGCCGATTAGCATGGTGGGAGCGGAACAGGTGAGATGGATTTGGTGTCGGCATTTGCCGGACAGCTTTTGTTGAAGATCAAACACATACCTGTCTAGGACAGATCTCCTTGGGAGGAATAAAATTGATGATCCCCCTGTTTGGGGACAGTATGATGACTGACGTGGAAGGGTTCTTAATTCATTCTTCCGTTTATTTTAAAAAATTTTGTTTGAATGCCTGCTAAGGTCTAGATGCAAGGTATAACACAGCAAGCACCACAGAAAGGTCCCTGCTTCCCAGTGCTCACACTCCAGTAAGTAAAGGTGGCTGGGCATGGGGGCAGCTCACCCTATAAACACAGTACTTCAGGAGGGTGGAGTGGGCAAATCAGCTGAGGTCAGGAATTCCAGACCAGCCTGGCCAATGTGGTAAAACCTCGTTTCTATTAAACATACAAAAATTATCCAGGCATGGTTGGGAGGCCAAGGCAGGTTCATCACTTGAGGTCAGGAGTTTGAGAGCAGCCTGGCCAACACGGTGAAACCCCGTCTCTATTAAAAATACAAAAATTAGCCGGGCATGGTGCTACATGCTTGTAGTCCCTGCTACTCAGGAGGCTGAGACAGAATTGCTTGAACCTGGGAGACAGAGGTTGTGGTGAGCTGAGATCATGGCACTGTACTCCAGCGTAGGCAACAGAGTAAGACTCCGTCTTAAAAAAAAACATTAAGTAAGTAAGTAAATAAATAAATCCCAGTGACAGGAGGCTGATATGAGGGAGGATCACTTGAGGCCAGGAGTTCAAGACCAGCCTGGGCAACATAGCAAAACCCCTATCTCTCAAAAAAATAAAATATTAGCTGGGCACAGTAATAGTACACACTTAAAATCCCAGCTGCTCAGGAGGCTGAGGTTGGAGGATTCTTTGAACCCAGGGAGGTAGAGGTTACAGTGAGCTGTGATCATGCCACTGCATTGAAGCCCGAGTGACAGAGTAAGACTATCTTCCCCTGCAAAAAAAAAAAAAAGAGTATTTTAATAATTATAATAAACTCAGACCTAAAGCCAATATCTTCAGAAAAATATCAATTCATTCAGTGTTTACTTCCATCATTTTTTTTTTAATTGCATTTTAGGTTTGGGGGTACATGTGATGAACATGCAAGATTGTTGCATAGGTACACACTTGGCAGTGTGGTTTGCTGCCTTCCGTCCCCTCACCTGTATCCATCATTTTTTTTTTAACAAACCACAGATCATATTTTTACTTCCATTTTGAAGTGTAGATGAGAAAACCATCTGCAGGAACTGACGTTTACTTAGTCAGACCCCAGGCCACTGCATGTGGGCAGTTGGGGAGTGTGGATCTTGACAGGCCCAGACTGGGGAGGTCATGGGTGGGAACTGCAGGGCAGCATGGCCCCTGCGGGATTCTCACATGAGTGCAGGTTTAGCCTGGCCTGTGTTTGCCCTGATGGTCTGGGCCTTGAAGCTGTGGGCATGTTCACTTAGGCAGCAGAACCGTCAGAGTCCAGTTAACTCAGCAGTGTTCACAGACAGAAACAGACTTGGCCTTGAGTCACAGAGCGGCTGCCATCTGAACTGGAACAAGAGCCGTGGCATTGGAAGCCAAGGTTCCGCCCAACCTCAGCCGTATCTGCCGTGCCGCCAGGGTGCTAGAATCTAAATTTAGGTTGTGCTTTAATATGGGACAGGAAACATTTTCTGCTCTTATTCTCGTCTGAGTACTGTATAAAGTGAGTTATTTATCTTTGGGCCCCAGAGTCCTCTTGAGCAATTGCAAGGGCACGAGGAACTGACCCATGCCGATATTTATAATGCTTCTTGCTAGTCTGTGATTCTCACATAATCTTGTGGGATTCGCAGGGTCATTAATTAGTCTTACGGCTGTGGTCACCTATGAAAGCTTTTCTCTCCCTTGAGATGAGGGATAAGACAAAAATGTCCGTCGTCACAGTTTCTATCCCATGTTGTCGTTGAAGTCCTGGCTAGGACAACAAGGCAAAATATAAAATATTTTTAAAAGAAACAAAATATATACAGATCAGAAAGGAGAAAATTAAACTCATATTTCATGGCAAATGTAATTGTGATAAATCTGAAAGGATCTACTGATAAACTCTTGGAATATAAATTTAGCAGGGTTCCTGGCCATAAGGTCAGTATTTTAAAATATATTTCTTTTCTTTTTTTTTGGGGGGGGGGGTTTGTTGTTGTTGTTGTTGTTGTTGTTTGAGGTGAAGTCTTGCTCTGTCACCAGGCTGGAGTTCAGTGGCCGGTTCACTGCAACCTCCACCTCCTGGTTTCAAGTGATTCTCTTGCCTCAGCCTCCCAAGTAGCTGGGACTACAGGCATCCGCCACCACGCCTGGCTAATTTTTTTGTCTTTTACTAGCTATGGGGTCTCACCATGTTGGCCAGGGTGGTCTCGATCTCCTGACCTCGTGATCCACCCACCTCAGTCTCCCAAAGTGTTGGGATTACAGGCGTCAGCACTGCACTGGCCTAAAATACGTTTTTATATACCGGCAACAAACAATTTAAAAATGAACTTCTCAAATGAAATACTTGTTTGTTTGTTTTTTGCTCTGTTGCCCAGGCTGGAGTGAGTGTAACTGTGAGCACAATCACAGCTCACTGCAGTCTTAACTCCTGGGCTCAAGCAATCCTCCTGCCTCAACTTCCCAAGTAGCTGGGACTACGGGAATGTACTACCATGCCTGGCTTTTTTTTTCCCCCATAGATGTAGGGTCTCCCTCCCTGTGTCACCCAGGCTTATCTCAAACACTTAGCCTCAAGCAATCCACCCTCCTAAGCCTCCCAAAATCCTGCTTACAGGCATGAGCCATGGCTCCCAGCCTTAATTGACATAATTTACAGTAGCATCAGGAAACATTAAATACCTGGGAATAAAGCTGTCAAAAATGTACAAGTCTTCTACACAGAAAACTGTACAATATTAAGACACAAAATCCACAAAGACCTTTAAAATGACAGGATAGCTCATGTTCATTGATACGAAAGACTCAGAAAGAAATCAATGTAGAGTCTTCTTCTGAGCCTACTTTGGCTGAGGAGGTTGCCCAATGAGAAATAAATAAAAATTTAAAAAGTGGTAAATTATTTCGAAATTAATCTATAGATACAATGCAGTCCTAATTACTGTATCTGTTAATCTATAGATACAGTGGAATCCCAGCAGGGTGTGTGTGTGTGTGTGTGTGTGTGTGTGTGTGTGTGTGTGTGTGTGTATGTTTGTGTAAGAATTGATAAACTGATTTTAAAGGTTAGATGAAAATACAGAAAACAACAGCTAAAATAATCTTAAACAACAGAACTGGAAGAGGTAAAGCTCAGGATATCAAGACTTACTGTAATAGTATTGTAATTAGAGCAGTGCGCACTGGCCCCAGGGACAGGTAGGCCGACAGAACAGATTTGAGTTCAGAAATAGACCCGCACATATGTAGACATTTGATTTATGACAAAAGTGGCATAATTCAGTTTGGGAAAGAGTCTTTTCAGTAAATAGTGCTGGATAATTGGATATCCATATTGGGGGAAAAAAATCTTGACCTTTATCACACACCATGTATCCAAATCAATTCCAAAGAGGATTTGGTAAAAGGAGGACATGTGGACATTCCCGGTGGTAATGCAGAAGTGGGGCAGCCATTTAGGAAAAAGAGTTTGGCATTTACATAGTTACCACATGCCCCAGCAATTACACTCCTAGATATATACCCAAAAGAGTTGAAAAAGGCTGGGCACAGTGGCTCACACCTGTAATCCCAGCACTTTTGGAGACTGAGGCGGGCAGATCACCTGAGGTCAGGAGTTCAAGACCAGCCTGGCCAAGATGGTGAAACCCTGTTTCAACTAAAAGTACAAAAATTAGCTGGGCGTGGTGGCGTGTGCCTGTAATCCCAACTACCTGGGAGGCTGAGGCAGGAGAATCACTTGAACCTGGGAGGCAGAGGTTGCAGTGAGTGAGATTGCACCACTGTACTCCAGGTTGGGTAACAGAGTGAGACTCTGTCTCAAATGAAAAAAAAGAATTGAAAATAATGTGTTCACTCAAAAACTTGTACACAAATGTACATAGCAGCACTATTCATAATAGCCAGAAAGTAGAAGCAACTCAAATGTCTATCAGCTGATGAACAGATAAACAAAATGTGGTATATCCATACAAAGGACTGTTATTCAGCCATTAATAGGAGTAACATACTCATTCATGCTACAAGGTGGATGAACCTTAAAACCATGTTAAATGCAAGAAGCCAGACACGAAAAGCCACATATTATGTGACTTGACTTTTATGAAATGTCCAGAAAATGCAAATTCATAAAACAAAGTAGATTAATGGTTGGCAAAGGGTGAGTGGGGTGGGGGAAACGGGTAAGCGTTTCTTTATGGGGTGGTGATGTGGTCTGGAACCAGATAATGCTGACAGCTGCACAACCTTGTGAATATACTTTAAAAACAAGTGAATTCTACACTTCGAAAAGGTAAATTTTATGGTTTTTTAATTATATCTCAATTTTAGAAAATTAATTCCAGGTGGATTATGGCTATAAAAAGTAAGACAATAAAGCTTCTGAAAGATAATATAGAGAATATGACCTTGGGTTAGGCAGAGATCCTGTAAACAAAACATTAAAAGCACTAACCATAAAAGAAAGGATTGGTTATTTGGAGTACTTAAAATACCTTGGCCAAGTGAGGTGGCTTGTGCCTGTAATCCCAAGACTTTGGGAGGCTGTGGCAGGAAGATTGTTTGAGCCTAGCAGTTTGAGATCAGCCTGGGCAACACAGCGAGCGAGACCCCATCTCTACAAAATAATTTAAAAATTAGCCAGGTATGGTGGCACATGCCTGTAGTCCTAGCTACTTGGGACACAGGAGGATCAGTCAAGCCCAGGAATTTGAGGTTTCAGTGAGCTCTGATTATACCACTGCACTCCAGCCCAGGCAACAGAGTAAGACCCTGTCTCTAAAAATAACAATAATTTTAAAAGAGTGAT